ACAACAACAATAGGGTTTCCAAGAAGAGGCTAGTGAGTTTGAGCCGCCGACCTTGAGGTTCAAAGCTATCCTACAGAGCCACACCAGTACTCACTTCCACAGCCGAATTAAAATACCAGTTTATCTGTCTCTCTTTTCTCATCACTCTGGCCAATAAGTGTTTTTCTCCTAGTTCCTGGAATTTGAGAAATAAGCTGTCTAGCTATTTCCTCATTTCCTTATGTGTCAGTTTAAACAACTCAGTCTAACCTCCCAAATAAATACAGGGCCCTCCTATTATATTCCTCATTTCCCAGTTTCTCTTTTTATGGTCATTATTGATTTTAAGTTTCATGAGTCTAAAGAACCCTGCCCCAAAGGCATATCATAGGGGCTGGCACTTAAGAGGAGTTTAACGGAGAGTTCTGCATTTAAAGAGGAGGAACTGAAAAAAATGTTTTGCTGGAGGCAATGGAGGCAAACTCCGATAAAAAAAAAACCAAACTTGCTCCGTTTAGCTGAGTTTATGACCTTGAGCCAGTTACTTAAATACTGAACTTCAGACTCCGCTTCTAGAAAATGGGAATTACAACAACTCTTTACTATCACTGTGAGGATCAAGAAAATGTGAATTACTAAGAATCTTATGATCACTGTCAGGGTCAAATAAGATTGTACACGCAGTCAGCGCTTCAACACTGACTATTTATTGAGAGCCTTCCACGAGCCACGCCCCAGGTTCGTAAACTCTCTCGAATTCAGGATGAAGCCACGCCCTTTTCGAGCTTCCCAAGGATGGCGTCATCTCCGGGCTTTCTCTACTCCGCCTCCTAGCCCTAGATCTCTGGCTCCAGCTTTCGTCTGTTTTTTTTCTCACCATAGACTGAATTCCGACCCAGTCTCTGAATTCCGACCCATCTTAAAAGTTCAGCCCTTCCGTCTCCTGCCCTCAAGCTGGCGTTTTTCCATTCTTCCCATTTGCCCTCCAGTGCATTCCTCCCAAGTAGTTCACACTCGTCAGTAAATCGCTTTCCCAGCCCCGCCCCATTCGACTCACTAGGATTTAAGGTCATTATTCCTACTCGGCATCTTTCGGCGGTTTCCGCCTCTTATCCCCTCCCCTAAAGCAATCTTCCACAATTTCCGAATCTTCGCAGGTTCGCCTGGCTCCCAATTACTGATCCACTTCGTCTAGCATTTCCTCTCACCCACCACGCCTCCTTCCCTATCATCTTCGGCTCTTTCCGACTTCCCCAGGTTTTCACCCTCTTCGGTTCTCCTCTGGGTCTCACCCGCTCCCTCGATTTTTTTCACCGCCCTTCGGGCTTGCGGCCTCTGCCCCTCTCCTCCACGTGACTTGGCCTCCGCCTCCACAGCCCAGTTCCCCCTCCCACCTCGCCCTTCCTCCCGCCTCACCCTCTCTGCTCGTCCGGCCCGACCCGCCATTTTGTGTGAATTTCTGACTGCGGCGGGGGCCGGGCAACCGGGGCGGGCAGACAGACAGACTGACAGTCGCCCGTCTCCGCGGCCCATTTCCTCTCTCCCCATAATCCTTTTTTTTTTTTTTAATCCCCTCGCTCTCTTTCCTCTTCTCCCTCGCTTGCTCCATCGCGCGCGGCTCGCGCTAATTACACCCAACCACCCACCAGTGTTCGTGTCCCCCGGGTCTCCCACTCCCGGGCCCGCAGGTGTGTGTGTGTGGGGGGGGCTCTCGCCCCGATGAGGGCCCCATGGCCGTGAGCGAGTGACCGCAGGGGCGGGCTGCGGAGAAAGCAGGCGGCGAGCGGCCAGCCGAGGCATAGGCCGCGCGGCCTAAGCGGAGGTCGGCTCGGAGGTGATTCCGAAACCAAAAAAATATATATCCATTCCCATCAGGAGCCCGCAGAGCTGAAGTGTACCCCTCCTGCCACGCCCAAGCAGTCCTTTTTCGTGCACTAACCCCCCCCCAAAGGAACTATGGAGGCCGTGTCCGGGACCCCCCCGCCGCCGCCATCAGAGTCGCCGCCACCGCCATCACCGCCGCCGCCATCAACGCCTTCGCCTCCTCCGTGTTCCCCCGACGCCCGCCCGGCCACCCCGCACCTCCTCCACCACCGCCTCCCGCTCCCTGACGACAGGTCAGGCCCCCGGCCGGGCCGGGGCAGCGTCCCCGGGGGGAGGAAGAAAAGGAGGAGGAAGGGGGGCGGCCGCCATGTTGGGCCGGGCCGCGGAGGAGGAGGAGGAGGAAGGGCGGGGTCGGTGGGTGTCTCTCGCTCGCTCGCTCTTTCTCGCTTGCTTTCTCTCCCGGCCTCATGCGTTTTCCCCCCCTCGCGGCGCTCGCCCGCTCTCCCTCGCTCTGTCTTTTTGGGCGCCATGCTGAGGGGAAGGTGAGGAGGCGCCCCCCGAACCCCCCGCGCCCACCCGCCCGCCCTGGGGAGGGGGCGCCGGGGGGGCTGCGGAGGCCCACGGGGGTCCTGGCTGCCCCTGCCCCCCGAGCTGGCAGCCACGGGCTCGCCTGCCCGCCGTCTTCTGGCTTCGGGGAAGGGGATGGGGGGAGGGGTTTCCCGAACCCTTTTTGGGGCGATCTGGAGCAACAACCCCGCTCTTAGGGGTTTGGAGTTGGGGGGGTCTCAGCCCCCGGCAGTATCCTTTCTCTTGGGGGAGGTGTGCCCTGCCCTACTTGGAGAGGTACCCTAGCTTTCTTAGGCAGAAAATGGGGGTTAAGTTCTTTCCATCTTAAAGGGGGGCCCTTAGGGTTGGGGGATTCTTTCTTGCACTCTTTTGGCGGGAGGTGTTTCCTAGCTATTCCCTAGGGAGCAAAACTGGGTGGAATCTCCCAATCCTTTTGATGGAAGCCCCAGTTTCTCTTTTTTATTTGGAGGGGAGATCCTTCCCCACATTTTCCCTTATGGGGAGAAACACCCTCGCTTTTTGTAGGTAGGTGATGGAAGGGGGATCCCTAGCCATTTTTGGGAGGGGGAGGTTTGGTTTTCCAGGCTTAGAGGGAAAGGAAAGTTGGTCCCAAGCTTTCTTGTGGGACTTCCCCCTTTCGGGGTAAAATGGGGTACCTTCCCTTCCGGCAGAGAAAACGAGGTTTCCTACTGCTGTGGTAGTGGGTGAAAGGGAGCGCCCCCGCCCCTTTTATTGAAGCGGGAAATGGGCTCCCCCACCAACCCTTCTCTGGCTGGCGAGGGCGATAGGTGGTCGTCTCAGCGCGTTTTAAGGCAAGGTTGGGCCCCTGTTCCCCTTGCTGGAGCAGAAGTCGGGGTTCGGGGTTCACCCACCCTTCCCTGGTGGGGCAATAGGGGAAGAGGAGACAGGGGGTCTGACTTCAGAAGGAGGGTTCTAGCTAGCAGGAGGGCAAGTGTTGTGGCTGGGGGCGGGGAGCAGGGAAGAGAATGCTCTAGACAGATGGCTGCCTCATCTGCAGCCCGGGCTGGGGAGCAGAGGAGGACCCTCCCAGCCCCTTCTCTCCACTCCCACCTCCCCTTCCCCCTTTCTCCTTCACAGACCCTCCTTTGCCTTTTAAAAGAAATGCCACCCACATTCAGAGACACAAGTGCAGCAGTTTGGTGAGCTTTTACAAAAAAAAAAAAAAAAAAATTTTTTTTTTTGTTTTCTGTTTTGTTCTAATTAAATGTATCCGTCTTGGGAATCGCAGCCCATCGCAGCCTGACTTCAGTTCAAGGAAATAAACAGATTAGCAAAGGTCTGTTCGCTAAGCCCACATCGGGCTTCCTGGCCCCCCTCTTGGGGGGCAGGTGCATTACCCAAAGGTGCTTACACGATTTATTCGACCTCTAAGGAGTTCTCTTATGTCAGAAGTGTATGTCTTACAATGGGTTGGGATGGTAAGTAGTCTCTTTTATTGAGTAATTCAATTATCTTCTTTTTTTTTTTTTTTTGGTCCTTTTCCTGCCTGCCTTCCTCCTCGCCTTTAGACGGAAGTGATGCTTGAGAAAGTGAATTTCTATGTTGGAATCAGGATTCTAACCCTGTTGAGCCCTTTTAGACTTGCACATCCTTTCAATGGTTCGTTTTTAAAAATTTGAACGTACACAGTTTTCTCCTCCCCTCCCCCCCAAAAAAAGTGCATTACTGTAACATGACCAAAAACCTATGTAAAAGGCTCTTAGCTTTTCAGTCCGTTGGCATCGTGTCGTATCAGTCCATTGCTTTGTCTCCTGCCTTCAGCTTTGAAGAAAAGCCCATTTACAGGAGACAAGTTACTGAATTTGGTTTATATTTGCATCAAAAGTTAACATTTTCCCTCTCACACACACCCTCTCTTTCCCCCCAAGAAGTGCCTGGGTTCAAGTAGATCCAATGTCCTCATTTTTCTCCACTGACTCTTAATGTTGATGGATGTTTAAATTGAGCAAGTCATTTGTAACATACTGTTTAAGCACAAAATCTGTAAAGTGTTTCAAGTCCCAATCTTTTCCCCTGCCCCTCTCTACTGTTCCTTTGTTGGAAAGCACATGCCTGACCATAAAAAGTTGATGTGAACGTGTTACATGCCCAGTCATGGTGGAGCGGACACTTCCTCCAGCCCCCCCCCCCCCTTACACGTAACAAGGAAATAACAGCCACTGAATGACTTGCAAAACCAAAGAGTGTATTTCTGATGTGTTTTACAAGCATAAGTTTCTCCATCCAAATCCAAAACACCTTTGAAGTTCCCATTTGCTCTTTTGCCCACATTGGGTTCCTGACATGCTTTGTTAAGAGAAAACTTTGGTCCGCACAGCCCAGTTCCCTTCCAAAAGAAAGGTTCTGTTTTCTTTTTTCCATTCTTTCTCAGAAACAAAGTTCACTCAAACTGTAGATGAGGAAACATCTAAACTGCAAATGACATCACTTGTTTTGTTCTTAGAATGTCACAGCTTAACTACCAAGAAACTGCTCTGAAAGTATTGGAAAATCAGTTATGGGGAAAAGCAATGCTACCGAGCAGTGTCCTGCAAAAATAAAAAATGTCTGAAGCACAAACTTACCACACGAACCCAGTGTGCAGAGGCAGCTGAAAGCATTGGTTTGAGGTTTCCCATCCTCTGTGTAATTCCTTGTCCAGGAGGAGCCTACATCTGAAACTGGATGCTAATAGTTCAACCTTCCAAGTTTCAAATGCTCTCAAGTTGTAGAAGGATGCTTAACATTTACTTTTCCAATGAAATGTGAAGGAAATGAGATTTTGTGTCTAAGTGAAAGCTCTAGCCTGTAGTTGGTTATTGAATTGAAAAATGTTTCCCCTAACAGTTTAAAAAGCTCTCACTCAAGCTTAGCAACACAAGGGTTTTTTGTTTTCAGACCTAAAAGAAATCTCATGCGACAAGTCTGAGAGGCTCTGGTAATTATGTCTAACTATTTTGGTCATCTTTGTTTTCGGTATGTCACAGTACTGCCTTTTTGTTTTTTTCCCTTATCTTTCCTTCTTCCCAAACTGATGTACCAGTATTATTTTAAATTCATGGATGTTGCAAAAAAAGAAAAAAAAATTTTTTTTTTAAAGGGTATCATTCAGAATCTCAGATTTAATAGCAAATCTTAAACACATGTAGCCTTTTTATTTTTTCTGGCTGAGAGGTTTCATCTGAAAACTCTCCCAGTCACAGCAAAACCAGTTGTGAGCATTTTGGTTGTCGTTACGTGTTGCTGAATTTTTCCGACTCATAGCGGCCCTGTATAAGGTTTCTAAGGAGTGACTGGTGAGTTTGAACCACTGACCTTGTGATAGCAGTCTAGCACTTACCCTGCAGTGCCACACCAGGACTCCATTCCGGTCACTACACCACTTTATTTTTAACTTCTTCCCAACCCCAATTTCGGAGTGCTGTAGCTCCATACAATAAGCACTAGACTGGGAACCACAGGGTCCATGGTTAGAGCCTGCCAGCCACTCTCTCAAAGATTGAAAGCCTTAGAAACCCTATACAGGGTCATTATGAGTTGGAACTGACTCATCAGTACTTAACAACAACCCCCCAATTTGCTCTTCAAAACAGTAAAACAGGATTGCCCAAAAAGGCTTTCTAATTCAGTCTGTCCTATCAGATTGGCTTTTGATTTTGCTCTTAAAATTTTGATTCTTCAAGATTTTTAATATTTTAGTAAAAAGACGCTAAAACAACCAGTTAGCTCTTTGAGAGAGCCAGTGCTGTGTTTTCTTTACCTAGGAAGCCTGATCCCAAGGGAAAATTGTTTTATGCCTGTGAAAATGAAGGCTTTTCCGGTGGACTGTGGGGCAGGTTCTAGAGCAACAAGTTAGCTCTGAACTTGTATGTTTCTGTATGTCAGTGTAGACAATTTCATATTGGACTGGGTTTGTAATTTATCAGTTAATAACGCTGCCATCTTTGCTGCTTGCTCTTGAGATAGGTCTCTAGTTGCATACCTTCCCTAATGGGAGAGAAATGACTGTCTCCGTGTTGTTTTATGCATTTACTTTCAGTATGTTCTTTTGGTTGTCGAGTCTCTAGAAAGGCCAGATCCAGTTACAGTGAATAACTCTATGGCTGAAGTTGCTTATGAAGTAATTTTCTAAGTCTCTGGATAGATGGGTCTAGACCATCCTCCAGAGGACCAAACTTTGGATCTTCTAGAAGGTTTCTGTTTATGCTTTAGCAGCTGTTAGGTTGGATGACGGAGCAAAATAATTCAGGGCAAGTAGTAAGGGAAATAGCCGCGTTTCAAGCCACTTGCCAGTATCTTTAGCACGACAACTAGTGGCACATTATGGCGAAAAGGATGGTTCTGGGGAATTCTGGCAGTGGGTATTTATTTAATCAGCCAATTCAAGGACCTGTTAGAGTGGTCTCCGGTCAGACAAGATAAGACCAGTTTCATAATGCCTAATAGAAGTTATATCAGTCGTTTGCCTGAGTGGCCATCATTTAGGTTACTTTGGGTGTTTAAATTAAAAATGAGTGTTCATGGGCATGGGTTTGGTTTTCCAAGTCTAGTGGAGTGGGCCTGGTCTTTGCTGCAGACGTCTCTCACGTGCGGTAGTTTGTAAAGATGTGGTCTTGAAGGTGAGGTTAGTTGGCCAGTTTTAATCAGTTGGGTGTTTTAATCAGTCAGAACAAAAATGAAGTCATGATGGTGGTCTCTTGGTTGGTGTAGATTTTATTGCATCTCGTCATTGGAATGATTTCTTGAGCAGATGCAGTGTAACTGCTTTTTGCTGTTCCTGGTGCCATCACTCTGGAGAGAGGCTCTTGCATGTCATTTTTGTCCTTTTGTGTCCCTGTGAATCGGTGACTCAGCGCCCTATTTGGAAGGCACTTGGCGACATCTATTTGAACACTGGAGGTGGCAACAGGATGTGAAGGAAGGTGCATGGACTGTGGAGGCAGATAAGATTGTGTCCAGGCCTGGCCCCTCCCCG